TTAGTTCTGGGAGGTGTTTTTGTTTGTTTGTTTTGGCAATTCTTTCAGATTTTCTACATAGATGATCATGTCATCTGTGAACAGAGACAGTTTTATATCTTCCTTCCCAATTGTGTTTATTTTCTTTCTTTCTTTTTTCTTCCCTTATTCTATTCCAAGGACATCAAATATGATGTTGAAAGGAATAGTAAGAGGAGATAGCCTTGCTTTGTTCCTATGCTTGGTAGGAAAGCTTCAAGTCTCTCACCATTCAGTATGGTGTTAGCTGTAGGTTTTTTCTAGATAGCCTGTCAATTTGAGAAAGTTCTCTTCTGTTTCTAGTTAACTGAGAGTTTTTATCAAGTATGAGTGTTGGATTTTCTCAAATGCATTTTCTGCATCTATTGCTATGATCGCGTGGTATTTCTTTTTCTAGTCTGTTGATGTGAATGGATTACATTCTTTGATTTTCAAATATTGAATCAGCCTTGTATAAAGTCATAAAGCTTGGGATGAATCCAACTTGGTCATGATATGTAATTTTTTTTATACTTTTTTGGATTCAATCTGCTAATATTTTGTTGAGGATTTTTGCATCTATGTCCATGAGAGATACTGATCTGTAGTTTTCTTTTCTTGTATTTGTCTGATTTTAGTATAAGAGTAATTCTGGCCTCATAGAATGAGTTAGGATGTATTCCCTCTGCCTCTGTCCTCTGAAGGAGATTGTGGAGAATTAGTAAAATTTCTTCCTTAAACTTTAAATTCAACAGTGAACCCATCTGGGTCTGGCACTTTCTGTTTTTAGAAGGTTATTAATTATTAATCAATTTCTTTAATAGATACAGGCCAAACCTTGTCTTTTAAAAAAAGAAATTTAAATGTTAATTTGTAGAAAATTGGTAAGATGCTAATATTGTTGTCTAATAAAGATACAAATAATTTTTGTCCCATACAGATGAAAATGACTTCTGCTTTTAGAGAAGATAGCACCAAAGGTTATAGTTTATTGCTCTGTAGGACATTAATCAGATTTATAGGTAATTTGGCAATAATTTAGAATGATTTCAGTATTCTTTTTTTCCTACATTGATATATATATAAAACATTATTTACCATATCTTTCTTTGAACCAGCTTTGTTTCCTGCTGACTTCCCCAATAATGAGTTAAAATAAAAACTTTACCTGTTTACTCTCTATTTGTATGAGAATTTTTGTTAACATTTTGAAGTTATACCTTCAACATTTTATAGGAATACAGCTTGACCAAATGTTTTAAATTGCATGTGTAAGAACTGTTCCTAAGGAGATAAGGATATGCTCAAAAGATTTAGCTCTAAGACCATTTACTGTGTATAATAGTGAAATATCAGAAACAAATGTACAACATTAGGAGACAGATTAATACCTAAATTTGTTTTAAGAATGACTGTTTCTGAGTAAGTAGAGTGAGGCTTGTTCATATTTTCTTGTTCATATTTTCTTTCTTTCTTTTGGAAGAAGGAAAAAGCAAACTTGCAGGTCATAAAGTCTAGTTACACTGGTCTTCCTGTTCTTGTTGACATCTATTGAGGTATTTAGTCCCTGACCATAGTCTTCCCTTCTGCTCCAATACCTGCCACTATCTCAGGGAATTTCAGAGTCCTTGGACAGAATCACATATCACCCTAGCTTTTTAAATTCCTTAATATCCCTTTTCCAGTGACCTTCTTCACTTCTGTAATTCACTCCAAAGAAATTTTAGATCCTTTCTTCATTCAGAACTGTTTATCCCTGACATTTCTGTGCTTTTTGCTCTGTTTTGCTTTTAGATGAAAATGCCTTCATTGTCTTTCTGATTAAAAGAGGTAACACATGTTTACTGCAAATTTTTTTCAGAAAATATAGAAAGATTTAAAAAAGAAAAAACCTTGCAACTCAGAACTTACCACTCAGCATTTTGTAACCCTTTAAACTTTTTACTAGGAATAGTTTTTTTGTTTGTTTGCTTTCCAAAATGGAAATTTACAATTCATTTTACTTTTATAATCTGCTTTTTGCCATTCAATGACTTATCTTTCCAAGCCAACAAATACAGATCTACATCATCATTACTATGGCTGAAAAATAATTTATTATATGGCTATAATATTCTTTACTTAACCCAGGATGTCTCAGCCTCAGCACCAGAATCTGGGGCTGGATAATTCTTTGTTGTGGGAGCTGTGTTGTCATTGTGGGATGTTTAGCGGCATTTGTGCCCTCTACCCACTATGAGCCAGTGGTTCCACCCTCCCCAGTCATGGCAATCAAAAATATTTCCACCTATTGCCGGATGTCTCCTGTTGGCAATATTAACCTCCACCAATTGAGAACCAGTTGAGAACCACTGATATAATTAACCTGCGTTGTTTGTTTATCTGCTTTGTCACAATTAGAAAGTGTTGCTTATAAAGATCCTAAAGTATATAAACTCAGCACTTCTCCAAATTACTTCTATAGCTTAAATTTTTAGCAAGGAAAAGTGTATTTTAAATTTTGATGTCTATTCCCAGATTTCTTCCAGAAAAACTGTATCAATTTATAATTCCATTAAAATAGCAGAAATGTCATTTCCTCAGAACTTGTCCATTTCTAGGTATTATCAATCTTTTTAATCTTTCTTGGTGATAAGTAAAACAAAATATTACTTTACCCTTTTAATTTGTAATTCTTTGATTGCTAACCAGGTTGGTAAATTTTACTATGTTTATTGGCCATTTGTATTATTGCTTTTATGAACTGCCTATTAATGTCCTTGTCCATTCTTGGTTTTGTAAGAGCTATTAATTCTTTCGGTATATAATTCTTCTGGTAACCTTTATGCTGAGTTTTCCTATATAGAAGGTATACATTTTTATGATGTTATTTTTCTTTCTGTCTTTTATTATGGTTAGAAAATCACCTCTAAAGTCTTAGACTTTAGTGTTTTAGTCTATTAGGCCACTCTGTTATTCCTCCGTGTTTCACACTCTAACACTAAACCTTTCTGACATCTACTTAGGACTCATCTGGAAATCTTATTAAAATGCATGTTCTGCTTTGGTAGGTTTAGGGGGAGACAAGGGACTCTGCAATCCAAACAAGCTCCCAGGTGATGTCATTGCTGTTCCTGGACCACACTTTAAGTGGCTCAGTTCTGGATCTTCAGCCCTCAAACTCCTGCACTCCCCACCTCCATTCTCTGATTGGCTCTCTCCTGAATTTGCTTCCCTTCCTACCTAGTGTGAATCCCATGGGCAGTAATTTCAATTATACCTTAGCCCTTTGTTTATCTGGAATAAGAACCCTGGCAATCTCCATCCCTGTATTGACACTGCCAATACTTTCTCCAGTCTCCAGTCACAGAACCACTGAAAGAAATTATGTAACTACCACCCTGTGACAAATGTATGATTTCCAAAATCAGATCAGAAATCTGTCACTTTGTTCCTCATTAGTTCCCTTTCCCATTCCTTATAGGAACTTTGCCTAAATTTAATCTCCTCAACCCCATTCCCCCTCTTTTCAGGCCTCGTAGTCAAGGAACTACAATGAAAGAACCTCAAGCCATCTATTAGAAATCACATTTAGCAAAGTACAGCTGCATACATTTTTTTAAATCCACTCAACAACCCAGGTGTCATATTAAGATTTTCCAACTCTTAGAAAATTCTGCTTAAAGACTTATGAATTAAAGTAGACCATTTATTTAATAAACACCTCCCAGAGTTCTCACAATATGCCTGCCAACTGTATTTAGGTAGGTACAATTACCATATCCATTTTACAGACTAGGAAACTAAGGCACAATGAGTTGACACAACCAGTGAGTGTCAGAGTAAGGACCCGGACCCAGATCATGTGACAGTATAATCCTAGATCTTAAACCTCTTTACTCTCTACTTGGAGATCACAGGGAGCCTCGGGTTCCTAAAAGCTGAATCCCACAATAGTATGTGTATTAGAAACAAATAAGAGGCAGGTAATCATTAGAGGTTCTCAACTCTTGAAGGTACATTTCATTCACTCAAGGCTATTTTTTTTTTTTAATATCCTTTTCCTGAGCCACATGGCGAGAAATTTTGTTCCATCAGTCTGGGGTGGGGCCCTGGCACTACTATTTTTAATTAATTAAAAAGAAATGTTACGCCCAAATCAGTGCTTTTCAAACTTTTCATATTCACTGGACCCTTCGCACAAGTCTCCCATTATTCTGATAGGTAATGTGTGACAGGTGAGTGCGGTCTTGGTCCGTGCCATAAACCTCAGGTTTCGGTGAAGTCCTTGTTATCATTAGTGCAAACACAGACCACCTGGTCCTTTCACAAAGAAGCACTTTAGGAAGAGATCACTGAAATTGGCCTAGAGTACTGGTGGAGGGAGCGTTGACTTTCCAATAATGGCTCTGCTCCCTTTTTCCATGTGATTTCCACATTTCCAGCGTTAAATTTAACTCTGATTTAGTCACATCTCACACACTATATAAGTTTGTCGGAAATTTTCCTGGACTCCACACCTGATAGCCTTTAAAACTTCTACACACACGTTCTTAAACGCCAAGCGACTTCAGAGCAGGACTGGGGCGCCTGGCGCGGCTGGGAGCGCGGCCCTGGGGACTCCGGCCGGCACGAAAGAGCGTTAAGAACCCGCGCGGGACTCCGGGCGCATCGTGGGGCTCCTGGTGGGGCTCCAGGTGAGCCCGGGGCGCGCCCGCCCGCACCACCCAACGCGAGAAGCCGTCCGAGACTTTAACGTCTCCAAACTCGCAGCAGCGGGAGCCTCATGCCCCCTTGGCGGAGCCTCCTGAAACCCGTCAGCGGCCGGAGCCGTTGCCGAGATGAGGACACTTCCAACCTGGGGAGCCAGCAAAAACTAAGGCCACACAAGGCAACTCGGTTCCCGGACCTCTCCCCGGCGCCCCGGGAATCCAGCGCAGCGCGGGCACGGGTTCGCCCAGGTGCAAAGGAGGCAGCGGCGCCCGGGCGTCCTGGCTCGGCCCCGCCCAGGAGGGACCCGCGCGGCGCCTGAGTGGGCCGGCGGGACGTCAGTCAGGCGCCGAGGGCGAGACCCGGGCGCGCCCGCCCCCTGGCTGGACTATAATGTGGCCCCCGCCGGGCTGCAGCCGCCGGGCGGCGGTGGGCGCCTAGGCTGAGGTGAGGCTGGGGGCGTGTGGGGATAGGCGCAGCTGAGCAGCTGCCCGGTGGCAGAGGGTGGCGGAGACTCCGAGAAGAGAAGAGGGAGGAATAGAGGGCACCCGAGGCTCCCGTGCTCCGGTTGCGCTAACTCCCTAAGGTGTTGCTTCCAACTTTTACCTCCTTAGGAAGCCAGGGAGGGTTAGCGTCAGGAGACCTGAGACTAGAGAGCTGAGCCGGAACTAGTAACGTCCACATCCACCCTACCCCTTCCCTTATCTGCTCTCAGCTTTATTATTGTTTTTATTCACATCTAGAACATGGACTGCGCCCGCCTATGGCTAGGGCTGCTGCTGCCTGTGGTAGCTGCGCTGGACTTCATCTACCACCACCAGGGACAGATGGAAGCATTTCTGAAGAATATTGCCCAAAACTACAGTTCTGTCACTCACTTGCACAGTATCGGGAAATCTGTGAAAGGTAGGATCCGCTCGTGTACGTTACCAAGCCCCTAGTCCTCGCTTTAAATTCATTTAAATTCATTAAATATGCCTTAGCTTCCAGTCTCCTCTCTGTGAAGCTACTGAGAGGGCTCCAAGCAGATCCGTCAGTGTCTAGCAGTGTTGGCTGATTTTGGCTTTTGTGTGTTGTGTTGTATTGTGTCAGGGGAGTAGTAGAAAACCTGAATTTCGCTCAACATCTCCGCTGTCATTCGGTGTCGTTGGGTGTTCTGCGTTAATGGCATTCTGTATTTTTGGATCTTGCAGATGTTGGTTTCCTGGGATGTATATTTTAGTTTTTAGTTGTATAGATAAACTTCTGCCAAAGAGTCTGTTTATCCGTCTCAGGTTTCCCTTTTTGTTGGCTTCTTTAAACATGATTTGGACTGTTAATAACCTTTCTTCAAGTTTCTTTTAAACTAAAATAGTGCAATTCTGTTGGTGAGATTTCGGTGTCACGTATAATTAGCCCTATGACTTAAAGTTATGCAAAAAAGTGGCTGGGGTGCTGATAAAAAGGCTAGTTCTTTCTACATTTTTACTTGTATTTCGGGGAGGTAATTAGGTTTGTTTAGTTGTTTAATGGAGGTACTGGGGATTGAACCCAAGGCCTTGTGCATGTTAAGCACCTGTTCTATCACTGAGCTATACCCTCCCCACAAAGCTGTTTTTAAAGTTACCTATTTAAATAAGGTAACTGCTGGGTAATAAGTGTATGATAGCAGTGAATGGTACTGCTCCTAGCACTTCCACTCTCATCATTTAATTGCTTATTGTTTTAACTTAGAAACAATATATTAAGTATAAATATATAACTATATATTACATCAAGTGTTCTTATTTTAATATATAGGGAAATTGAACCATAGAGAAATAAAGTATTTTGCCCAAGATCACCCAGATGGTGAGTTTTAAAACCAGGACTGGAACTCATATCACTCTACTTCAAGGGTTAGACATTTGGGGACAAGGCAAATAATTTCACCGGTTATTTTTACTTTCTTAATCTTTTATTATATTAGTAGTCTCCAAAGAGATTACCAGATACCTTAATGCTTAAATCATAAGTTTTGTCAAGTTTATGCCATTTGGATCTCAATTCTTTTAAGGTGTGTTCAAACCTCACCTGGATTTTGGCTCTAAGCTTTTCACACAATTGGGAGTCTCTTAATTATCATATTCTTAAGTAATTATTTTCCCTCCAAAATTTAAGGGTATTTTTTTATATTAAAGAAGTATTACATAAATTGACTTATGTGCAATGCAGCATAAAAATCCTGGTCTTATGTGTGTAATGGTATCTTTGTTTTCAAACATTGCCAAAGAGTTGGTGCCAGAATTACTCTATATTGCTGTATAATCCAAAATTACAGAGGCTGAATGTATGAGAAATCATATCTTGAATCAGTATTTATATTCAACCTTTTGAAATCATTTCTCCCTAGGGCTAGAGAAGACAATTTAAAAAGATCTAAGAATACTAATTATATTAGTAAAGGAAATATAGAGCACAACTAGCTTGACTTATTGTTCAGTCATCATTTAAACCACAAGGTGATGCAAATGTTGTTCATTTTAAGGACTAAACGGTTTGGTTTTAAGTTTTTATTTTTTTTTCAAGCACAGAGTGCTTGTGAAAGAAAATTGGGGGCTGTCTTTCTTAATGTCAACCAGCTGTTTTGATCTCTCCTGCATGCTATCAGACCACAGTAATGGTCTGATAATAATGGAAGCCAGCAGGTGAATTTTTTTTAACCTTGTATGCACTCTTGTGGTTAAAGGATAGAGGAATTATCACGTAAAAAATAAAATCTGGCAATAGTGGTCAAATGTTTGTCTTGTGTGTGTTCTGAATAATTGACCTTGATAAAGAAAAATCCCAAATCTGCTATTAGAGTCCAAGTTGTTGGTTGAACTACACACTAGTAATTGGAAGTCAGGTGCCAATCTATCCCTGCCTGGTGGCTCAAGCATTGGAAGATGGTGCTCCCTTGTTGGCACTCTTTTCACTAGATAGTTTTCCCTGGCCGTCCTGCCCTCTGATGTTTGGCGAACAAGATTCACTGTATGTGTTATTTTTCTTTCTCTATCTCTCTTTCTCTCTCTCTCTCTTTCTCTCTTTCTTTGTCGTGTGAGCACAGGCAATCTACCTAGAAGGGAAAGTACTATTCCTACCTAACCAAATACCTTTTTAATTTTATAAATGCATATCACATTTATTTTCATTGCTGTAATCATGGATTCTATCCCACTTTTCCCCCCAGTTTACGTGATTTCATTATGTATTTCCATGAATTGAAAATTCTGCAGATAAGACTTGGTTGCTATGTAGCATTTTATCCTCTTGATCGTGTGAATTTCTTAGTCATTCACCTATTTGAGGCATCTGCATAGTTTCTGATGGTTTCTGTTATAAACAGTGATGCTAAAAAGCCATTGAGACATGTCATGATAATGGCCTTCTATTTTAACTGGTGATTTGTTTCCAGTTTCTGATTTTCAAATGTTTGAAACCCACACAAAAGTTGAGCACATATATACCTTTCACCTAGATTCAGCCATAGTTGACTGACCATATTTCACTTGAGACTTTTGGAGGAAACCCCACCACCTAATGACAGAGTACAGAACATCTAAAGGCAATAGTAGCAACTCAAATAAGAACTGACAGCTGAGTT